TGCCATGACCACTGCCCTTCCTTTATTTTTCTTTCCCTCCCCCCCCACCCCCCATTCCACGACACTCGGGGTGGGGGGTGGGGGGTGAGAGAGAGAGCAGGGAGGGAGGGAGGGGGAAGAGGGTATACCGCCCACCACGAGACACGTGTGGCACACCTGTGCCAGGTGGTGAGAGAGGAATCTACTTGATTGTACCATCACCAGCCTGCCTGTCATTGCCTGACACTGCCTGACACTGCCTATCACTACCTGTCACTGCCTGACACTGCCTGTCACTGCCTGACACTATCTGACACTGCCTGTCCCTCTGACTATCTACTGACTGACACCAATCACCCCCGTTCTTGCCTGGCTTCACTGGCTCCCCGTCCCTCAGAGAATTGAGTACAAAACCCTCTACGGTCTTGCTCCCCACTACCTCTCCAACCTTCTAAGCCCATATCAGCCTATCTCTGCCCCCACACTATGGAACTCTATCCTGCAGTCCCTTCACCTCTCCGCATCTCTTACTTCCTTCAAATCTCATCTGAAGAGCTTCCTCTTCGACCATGCCTTTGGCCACTCCACTCACCATGGATCTATCTTCCTGGTTCTGGTCAGGTCACTCACTCACTAGTCCTTATACTTATAATAATATTCCTTGCATCACGTCGTTGAGATGTCTCAAAGCGCTTCACAGAATACTGTCAATACTCTAAAGTGAATTGACTCCATATTTTGTGGGTGAAACACGGCAGCCGATTGCACACGGCAGTGTCCCACAAACTGTGCAGAATGAATGACTTTGTGGAGAGAGTTGGAGAGGGTGTGGAAGAAACAAGCCAGGGAGGTGGTGGAGGTAGATTGTGTCGGCAGATCCAAGGGGGGAATGAGTAGAGAGGGCTAATGGTTGAGGAAATGGATGGAGGGCTGTGAGAGACACAGTGGTGAGATTATTTTTTAACAGTTTAGACGGACCCAATGGTCCTTTCCGGTGTTGCACATTCCTGTGATGTGAATTTCGCAAAGATTGGCCTGTTGTTCTTCCCCTGTCTCCCAACTCAAGGCTGCAATGCCTCAGATCTCACCCTGGCCTTTGTCTCTGATTTCCTTTCTCTCTCTTTCTCTTTCGTCTCTCACAAGGTCCTGGTTCTTCAGATGGCCCTCGATCCTGCCCTAAGCCACAAATCACCCCCTTTTAGTCAAATATTTTCACCGATACAGTAACCATGCAATTTCCTGCATTATCTTTTCTCTGTTAACCTAGCACTGGGACAATCAGAACAACCTTTGATGTCAAGCAACAGGTTAAAAAGAGAGCGCGTTCCTTTGGCCCTTCGACACGGGAAGCACTTTAGTTTATTGAGGTGTGAGTTTTGCAACATTCCTGGATCTAATCCTTTCACTGATGAACACACACAGGGAGTTCCTTCAATAGGCACAGCTCATTCAACAGGGCAAAACACTGAATTAACACACATTGCTCAACTGTACTTGTGCACTGTTACCAGCACCTGGGATTAGCTGGCTCCCCATTCACATGAAAAGATCGCTTCTCATATGACCTATCCTTAAATTGGTTGCACTCAGAAAACTCAGTCCTCATCTTACAGTACAAGTGATTGAAGTACAAATCTGCTAAGTGTGTAATTGGGTTAAGAGGCTGTGCTTTCAGACCATATCCCAGCTATTTCCTTGTGTTTTTGTTCTGAGAAATGTAACTGCAGAAATTCTTTTCCTGCTTTGGCTTTGTACCCCTGGCGTCTCCGCCCCCTTCCCCATTTGCAGACTTCGCACGACTGTAATGATAACAATAATCTTTGGATTTGATACAGCGTTGAAATGCCTCAAAGAGCTTCACAGGGAAACTGCTTCTAGGTGTAGTGACTGTTTTTGTAATAAAAATAATACTCCTTGCATTTAATATAGCGCCTTATCACATCTTCAACACGTCTCAAAGCGCTTCACAGAATACACTGTCCAGTGAATTGACTGTATATTCTGTGGGTGAAACGCGGCAGCCAATTGCGCACAGCAGCGTCCCACAAACAGCCATGAATTGAGTGACCAAATTATTATTATTATTATTTTTTGAAGGGATTATTACACCCGGAAAAGCAATCCGCCAACCAACTAACAACCAGATTCATAGGTAGAGTGTCATAGATAGAGTGATCATAATTTTTTAATGGGATTATTACCTCTGGAAAAGCGATCTTCCAATCGACTAACAACCGGGTTCCTACTTACTACTGGGTAAACAAAGGCGTATGGAGTAAGGAAACTTGCCTAACATTTCACCCTGCCCGGGAATCCACCGCTTGTCCTCCCACCTCAACCTTCAAGGCACTGTCCTTGAATGGTTTAGGTCGTACCTTTCCCACCGTCTTCACTTCGTCTCAACGAATGGCTTCTCCTCCACCCCCCGTACTGTCTCATGTGGTGTCCCTCAGGGCTCTGTCCTCGGTCCCCTCCTCTTCACCCTCTATATGCTCCCCCTTGGTGACATCATCCGCAAACATGGGGTTAACTTCCACATGTATGCGGATGACACCCAACTCTACCTTTCCTCCTCTACTCTCAACTCCACGACCACCGATGTCCTGACAGCCTGCCTGTCCGACATCGAGTCCTGGACGAGAGACAACTTTCTTCAGCTCAACGTGCGAAAAACCGAGGCCCTCCTGATTGGCTCACGTCAGCGCCTCCGCACCTCAGGCGCTGACACCATCAGCATCCAAGGCTGCACTCTCCACCTCTCAAAGCCAGTCAGGAACCTCGGCGTTTTGTTCGACCCTGAGCTGTCCTTTCTCCCTCACATCCGCACCACAACTGGCACCGCCTTCCATCACCTCCGGAATATCGCCAGACTACGGCACTACCTCACCCCTCACGCTGCTGAAACCCTGGTTCACGCCTTTGTCACCTCAAGGCTGGACTATGGGAACTCTCTCCTCGCCGGCCTTCCCGCCACCTCCCTCCACAAGCTGCAGGTCATTCAGAACTCTGCAGCTCGTGTACTGTCCCGCACCAGGCTTCGGGACCACATCACTCCCACCCTCGCTCGCCTCCACTGGCTCCCCATCCCCCAGAGGATTGATTTCAAGATCCTCATCCTCACCTACAAGGCCATTCACGGCCTTGCTCCCTCCTACCTCTCCAACCTACTATCCCCCTACCTACCTGCCCGTACCCTCCGTTCCTCTGGCTCCGGTCTGCTCCACGTCCCCCGCCCCAACCGCCCTACCATCGGTGGTCGGGCCTTCAGCCTCTCAGCCCCCAGGCTCTGGAACTCCATCCCCCAGTGCCTTCGCCTTGCTTCCTCCCTTTCCTCCTTCAAGGCCGGTCTCAAAACCTTTCTCTTTGACCGTGCCTTCAGCTCCCCTCTCGACTCTCTTCCTCCTCCTCGCTCCCTCCCTTCCCTCCCCTCACCCTGACCATTTCCCCCCTCCTCTCTCCCTCCCTTCCCTCCCCTCACCCTGACCATTTCCCCCCTGCTCGGGGCATGACCCAACTGTGCAGCGCCTTGGGACGTCCTCCTGACGTGAAAGGCGCTCTATGAATGGAATCTTGTTGTTGTTGTTGTTGAATCAAGCCCAGGTCCTCTCGCTTTCGAGGCCAGTGCTCTAGCTACTAAGCTACAGGTCTCTACTCCCACAGACTGCCATGTTTGTGAACGACCAATTAATCTGGAAGATGTTGGCCAAGTAGGTAATTGAGAGAAACATCCTTCTCTTTTCCAAATGAGTCATGGAATACTTAACTCCCAACCTGAACAGACAGAAGGTCACAAATATACCTGAACAGACAGAAGGTCACAAGTACAGTACAAGTCTAGGTCAGACTTGTTGCTGGGTACAATAACATTGACCTATGTGACATAACTCCATTTCCTCCCCCTCCCCCCAAACAGTGAGGGCTCAGTGAGGACAACCACTAACAGTTGGAAACTGAGACACATGGAGTGAGGTCCCAGGTTTAACACTTGATCTGTGCTGATCTCAAGGCCTGGGTACTGTGTGGACATCAGCCTCAGTGTCATTGGATCAGGAGAGAGAGGAGGAAATCAGACAGGCTCCCAAGGACTGAAATTCCACCTAGTCCTAGTCCGTGAGATCATTCTGTTTTAAATTTAAGATTTCGCAGAATTTTGGAAAACTCTTGAATTCATTATTAATCCGGAACTGTTTCTGTTTATGAACTGCCATAAAAAAACAGATTCCAAATTAGGATTGAATTGTAGAATTAGCCCAAATCCACCACAATCCCTGATGTGACGAAGCTGGTGTCAGGACTGAGACCAGGGGACTGTGACCCCCGCCTCCCCTCCCCAGCTGTGTCCCCGCCTCCCCTCCCCAGCTGTGACCCGCCCCCCCCCCCGTGCCCCCCTCCCCTCCAGCTGTGCCCCCCTCCCCCCAGCTGTGACCCCGCCTCCCCTCCCCAGCTGTGACCCCGCCTCCCCTCCCAGCTGTGACCCCCCTCCCCTCCCCAGCTGTGACCCCGCCTCCCCTCCCCAGCTGTGACCCCGCCTCCCCTCCCCAGCTGTGACCCCGCTCCCCTCCCCAGCTGTGACCCCGCCTCCCCTCCCCAGCTGTGACCCCGCCTCCCCTCCCCAGCTGTGACCCCGCCTCCCCTCCCCAGCTGTGACCCCGCTCCCTCCCCAGCTGTGACCGTCCCGCCTCCCCTCCCCAGCTGTGACCGCCCGCCTGCCGCCTCCCTCCCCAGCTGTGACCCCCGCCTCCCCTCCCCAGCTGTGACCCGCCTCCCCTCCCCAGCTGTGACCCCCGCCTCCCCTCCCCAGCTGTGACCCGGCCTCCCCTCCCCAGCTGTGACCCCGCCTTCCAAGTTATTGACCACACCCTTAAGTGTTGACCGCGCCTCCCTAAGTGTACACGTATCCCTATGTCTTGACCCTCGGTGTGACCACACGCCCACCCAGATGTGACCACGCCCGCCCAGGTGTGACCACGCCTCTCCACGAGCGTGACCACGCCCGACCACTCCCCGTCACGCACGGACGGCGTGCTGACGCAGGGGGTGCTGACGTACGGATGCTGCTGCTGCTGCCCGAGCACCTGCTGCTGCTGCTCTTCTCTTACTCGGAGCCGCGGGCCCTGGGCCGCCTGGCGCAGGTCTGCCGTCGCCTCCACCAGCTGGTCGGCAGGGACGCGCTGTGGAGGCGGCTGGCCAGGGCGTCGCTGAACGCGGGCCTGACGCGGTGGGGCACCGACAGGTAGGCGGCCGCCCGCGGAGTTACTCGAGGAGCGCGGCTGCGGCCTAGGCCCCAGGCCCAGCTCCCGTCACCATGGTTACCGCCGCCCGGTTACTGCTGAGCTCCGCGCCACGACCTCTCCTCGGTCCCTCTTTCCTCCCCCCAGGCCTCTCCCCCCCCACAGGCC